CCGACATTCCTCCCAATCAAAACCACTGCTGGCATACCCATGCTGCCGAGAAGGCGCAACCACCAAGCACAGAGTCTCCTCCTTGATGAATGTTGTGGCCAAAAAATGCTGAAAAACAATCCACATCTGGTCCACACACGCAACAACAAACACAAAGTGACAAAACACAAAAACAACAAAAAAAGCAAGGCTCATGAGAGCACTTGCCGACGGCTGCCTGCTCGGGGGCCATCCTGGACTTATATACACACACACACACATATATATATATATATATATATATATATATACACACCGTAAATTCCGGGCTATAGACCGCACCTGATTAAGAGCCGCATGCTCAGATTTATGAAGAAAAATCAATTTTGTAATATATGCGCCGCACCATATTATAAGCCGCTGGCCAATGAGTAGGCGGGGGTATGCCGCCTGGAGCGCCTCCAGGTGGGGTCCGCCGCTGAACCCCCGCAGAAAAAAACGCAAGATTTCTTAAGGTTAAAATGATCTCCATATTTTTATGAGCATGATAAATGCATTTGCACAGCGAAATTACGCTGAAACACATAATAAGAGGCCAGACAAAGAGAAGATCTTGATGCGCATTTGCGTAATTACGAGGTGAAATACTGCAGCCCACTCGGCTTTAAATAGAATAATGCAAATCATATAAATGGGAAAAGATATATGAAATTATTTCTATAGTTTTATTGAAACAAAATTTAACATGAAAGTTTCATTTTTCGTGGCAGCTTTCACAGAATCGGTTATATGGGCCCTCATGCTGTCCATAACGAGCAATGCTTTTTTTCTGCGAAAAAAATCCCTCCGGTCGCTTTGTGTAGCACTCTGTGAGCCTTTCCTTCATTAGGCTCTCGCACATCCAACCTTTGTGATTGACTTTCACCACGATTTCCTTTGGGAATTTTTCCTTTGGCATTGTCAGCCGCTTAAAAATGATCATCGGTGGCAGCTTTAGACCGGATGCTGCGCAGCTCAAAATACAGGTTAAATGTGTTCTCTCGTGGCCGCTTGTTTTCAGAATGACGGAGGAGTCACCTCTTTTATTTACAGTCCGAGTGAGAGGCAAATCAAATGTCAGAGGGACTTCGTCCATATTTATTATTTCATCTGGGCTGATGGAATTCTCCCTTTGTTTGTGTGAATGTGTGGAACGAAGCAAGTTTGTCCTCGTAATTGGGAGGGAGCTGCTGACACAACGTCGTGCGTGCCCTAATAGACAGGCTTTTCCGTTTCATGAATCTATAACACCACGACGGCCCACCTTTAAAACCTTCAATGTTCATCTCGGTAGCGATAACTTTAGCCTTCAGTCTGATTTGTACAGTGGAAACACCGCGGCCGCCTGCTCTTTGAGTGTTAACCCAGTCCTCCAGAAAGTTTTCAAGCTCAGGCCATCTGCTATGGTAACCTCTGAAAGCTTTGGTTGTCTTTTTACACTGGCTCAGTTCTTCTCGCCGGAGCCTTCACCTTCGCACCATCGACTCGTCTATGCCAAGATGATGGGCAGCAGCTCGATTTCCTTCTTTAACTGCCAGAGTGATTGCTTTTAGTTTAAAAGCTGCATCATATGCTTTTTGTCTGGTATTCTCCATGTTGATCAGGGTTAGAAGAAAGACTGAAATAAGGAAGTTGTGATTACCGGTAATCATACAATTTCATTGGACCCCTGTGTACTACTCATTCATTTTATTGGTCGA